CACACACACACACACACACACACACACACACACACACACACACACACACACACACACACACACACATCCATTTACCCACTTGGCTAGTCCCATGTCAATCCCCGCCATGATGGAGTGGTTTCCACCTGTCTGTCTCCTCTTGGGTGGCAAATTCCATTCCACTTTTAACCCCCCCTTTCTGAGAGGGAGTTTGATCGATCATGCCATACGGTGTACATTATGTGCAGGAATCACACTCACTGTTGAGACCGTTGTATACCCATCGCATCATCATCCACCACCCATACTTCCATAGCAAGGTACCAGGCACAGTCGACAGAATGGGGCCGCATCGAGATTGAATGGGTCCGTGCTAATGCAACAGGAGTTAGTGCATAGCTCGAAATTGGCCTGGGATGGGCCGAATGGTTCCATCTATCTGGTGGTTTATGGCAGTGATAGTCGTGACAGTTCACAACTTCGAATAGCGGGAACAGAATGATAGCCGAGACGGATGAAGAATCCGCATACTCTAAGTGGGTGCAGTCCCTGTGTTGCGTATCTCAAACCCTTTCTCTAGCAGACTGATCAAATACCAAAAATGGGGAGAGGGCATTAGGACCTTCACATCCTGGGTGGGTGCATTACCTGGCTGGAGCATGCATGATGGCTCTGCAAAGCTGGCCGAAGAAGCATGCTTAGTGATTACACAGCTTAAAGTGAACGAGCCAATGGCTTGGTGAAGGGTGACACTGTGTGAAACCTATAGTAAAATTCCTAGTGACTAATATTCCCTTTTGTTTGCCCTGTTTTTTCGCCCTTTTCTCTCCCTGAAGGCTCGAGGCTAATCGTAGCAAAGTAGCTAGGTATTTAGGGGCGGCTGCTGATTTGCCGTTGTTGAAATGTTTGAGGCTGTTGGGGAGGTTCTGGAACGCTCGATTCTCGGGAATATCTCCCACATCAGAAGGGCGTCGACTATGGATTACTGGGCATTCGCTGGCGAAGGGAATGTGTGGTTTCCACTGGAACTGGGGATTCTCTCTACTAGAAAAAGAGTATTCTATACTAGCGATACTACGCCTATCTAGTAATTGAGGTGGTTATCATGTGTAAATCGTTACGAGACGAGATACCCTGTGGTACGTATCAAATAGGAACAGTACCCAGTCTGGGGGCTTCTAGTACTAGTATCTAACCCGGTAATCACGCGAATAGTACCTGACGCATCAAGCAGCGTGAACATTGTGTACTTATCGGTGTGCATACCGATATTGTATCTCGATGCCGAGGCATAGGTACAGAATAGAGGTCTTCGGTGCCAACATCAGCTCTTGATAGAAAACTAAGCATTTGGGCACCATTAAGGCATTCTAACAAGGCCAGGGGAGCAGTAGTCTGTCACCCATCGGACAGTAGCTTTGTGTTGACTGGCATCCCAAAGGACCTATAGAAAACAACCTAATGGAAGAGTTGCCCTTGGCACACGCTCCAGTATTGATATTGGTGGATGGTAAGTTAGCCTAAGGTAGCCTATACAGAAGATCGTCCCTTCCCTTGAGTCTCCTTGCCTCTCAGGAACGGTTCTCGGTCGGAGCTGGAATTGAAGGACACGCCATGTACGAAAACGCATGAAAGTGTCTAGCAGGGCCAAAGGGGGTTCAAAGAAGCTTTGCTGTCTTCTTCCCTCCAACTCTACCACGTAGAGTGAAACGGCTTCAACGACTTCAGTGAATTCAGGTCACAGGTCGCAAAAGGCAGCGCGATCTCCACTTCAACAATGCTGCCGCTTAGCGTGACCTTAGGAGCACTGTCGTCAGCAGCCTCCTGCACCTATCATTGGTCCTGCGCCAGACTTCTGCACCCTAGCAAACTCGTCCATTTTCCCATCCTGGGCTTGATCATTGGGACCTTTACCTACTAGTTGTGGTCGTTTGACTCATACAACCGTTTCGAATCAAACCCCGAAAATCTAAAAAAGGTAAAGAGAGGAGGGGAGGGGAAAGAAAAGAAAGAAAAGAGAAAAAAAAAAAAAAAAAAAGCCGACATAGTGGCCCCGGCAGAAGAGGCGCCTGGGCTAGAAGAAAAAAAAAGAGAGAGAAAAAGAAAAAAAGAGAAAGAGCTCGGGAAAGTATTCGATAGTGGGGGTTTTTGCCATGGTGCTGACCGCGACATATGCTAAGAAGGACCCAGCCACGCCGCTGGTGGCGGCTCGGATTGGACCAAGGAGTTTCCGGAAAAGGACGAGATGAAGTTGAAGTGGTGTTACATTGATTGGCTGGTATCCCATCCGGTCCCTCAAATCAGATGTGGAGCCTTCCGAAGCACTGCTAGTACGAAATACTCCGGTACATGCGGCGCCACTGATTCCGGATACCGAATAGGCAGTAGACTGTGTTTCGAAGGATGGGGCTGGATTCAGGTACCGGTAAAAGGAAGGCTACAGAGGAAAGGGGGGAAGTAAAAGAATGAATCGAAATGAAAAAAATAAGAAGAGTAAAAGAAGAGAAAATAAGACATAAGAAGGGGTGGGGAGTGGGAAAGATTGGATTAAGGGAGATCAGAAGCTCCAGGCGACGGGAGAATGAACCGACGAGGAGCAGCCGGTGGAAAGCGAAACAGGCTAATATATATAAAGTATAACCAGTTCAGCGGGAAAACCAAGGTTAAGGTCCTTGGTACTAGTACCATAGATTGAGGGGATCTCGAATCTTGGTACTTACTAGAAGTGCAATTTCCCATGACGACAAAAGTAGAGTAGCTGACCTAGGATACCTGAAGAACAATATGAGTACTTGGTACGTTACATAGAGGGCAACAGTGCCGGAGTTTTCATTACTTGGGTTGTCACTTCCATTGGATACATGATCTTTACGCAGTACTAGTGATCTTTGTTCTGATCTGTGTGGGAAAATGGGACTGCCATACTTTATTGTATACCTAATTCAGAGAACCAAAGCTGCTTCCACTTTGTGGCCACAATGCAGGCAGAAGAATTCTTCATGTTGATCGCATCCTCATAGATGCTTTCATAACCTACAGGGCCTGCAGCCACAAGCAAAAAAAAAAAAAAAAAAAAAAAAGGAAATGAAAAAGAAATGAAAGAAGAAGAAGGAGGTGGGTGGCAGGGATGGGCTGCATACGTGCCACAGCTCCCGCGGAAAGCCGAGCAGCAGGAGTGGTTGTTTTGACGCTCTACACAGTACGAGGTAGTAGGAGGTAATGCTCACTGGGCGGGATGGAGATCGGGCCCTAGTGGGAATGTAGTACCCTTGCCTGGTCAGGTGGCAGACTATTTTGTACTAAGGTTAGCTTTCGCTATCATCATCCATTATGATTACTATCTCATTGAATTCGTTATTATATACTATTATTCCAAGGCATTAGAAGAAAGAAAATATGTATATATAAAGTAGATGAATACAAACACCAATTTCCTTTTTATTTTTTTATTTTTATTTTCTATTTTTTTATTTTTTTATTTTTTATTTTTTTCTTGTCTTTACAGTACCACTCCCCCAATCAAATTTTTGCCTCCATCATCGCTCCCTGTTGTTCTTTCCCCCCTTTTCCCTTCCTATCAGCTTTCAGAATGACTAGCTATGAGGTGAACCGATCCTTGATACCGCATAGCAATGAGCCATGGACCATGATGGGATTTGAGTGACCCATCCCAACACCGTCTGGAGCTTCGACAATCACGGTACGCAGTATCACCAATGCCTTGTTCTTATTTCCCCACCCTCTCCAGTCTGTTTGGTCTTAGGGCTGGCCGTGGCTCTCTTGCTACTATCCTTCCACGGCCCCCAAACACAGCAGAACAACAAATCTGAAGAAGTCTCTATGCACACGGGCCAGTGGTTGTTGATTCCTTTTACCTTTTTCCTTCTTCTACTTTTTTTTTTTTTTTTCCTCCCATCCTTTCTTTTTCCCCAAAACTGCACACCCTACCCCTCCCTTTCCTCCTCCCCACTTCTTTCCCCTTTCTACAAAGTAATTGCATGTCGCTTTCCCAAACGGTCTTCCCCCGAAACTCATCTGGTCTTTTCATTCACGTTCATTTTCTTTTCTTTCCCTCTCTATCTATGATTATTTTTAGTTGTTGCCATCTTTTTTTTCGGTAAAAGGAAGAAGACCTCCAACCTGCCTACCTAGTAACTTTTCTGGAATCTGCAATCGCCACACGCTTCTCTCCATTCTCTCTTCCTCATAAAGTTGATTGTTAACGCATCTCAACGCTGCCTGGATTCTCCGAACATCCAATAAGAAATGCCGATTCTCCGAACTACTAGTCCGTCTTCTTTGTGACCGCCTTCGACACAGACCCAAGGGCAGCTGTAACCATGAAGAAGCAAAATGAAAAAGAACATAGCAATAAAAAATTAAAAAGAAATAAGAGACACATGCTGCCGAATGGTGTCGCGTTGTAGATCAACTTTTTTCTGGAGCTATAAATCTCCTGCAGCTGTCAATCCCGATGGTCACTGCCACGCATGCACCTCGGGCTAAGGCCCATCAAACGCTCGGAACCAGGACATGCAGGACCCTCTCGAATTTGCCACCTTTCAGTGTCATCTACTACACACATTACCTACTACTCATCTTACCAAAGCGGGTTGGCTGCGTTCCCTTGGGTCCTCGCAATATCACTGGCAATCCCTTTTTTAAACTGTCAGAGGAAGATCCATGGATTCCACCGGCTGGGGACAGAATTCCGGTACCCAATCATGGCCTCCCACAAAAGCCATCGATGCCATCGAGACCGTCCATTTCACTCTCTTGCCAAACGACCTTAGATTTAATCCAGGTAACCCTAAGCACGACGCAGTCCCCGTTTCCTCAATTAATGTGGCTGTTTCGTTGTTTTTTTAGGAAAACATGCCACCTTTCCCGGCCTTTTTCCTGATGTGAGCCATTTTCCCGCTCAGTGTGATTGGAGTATACTCTCTTTCTCTCTCCATCTTGTTCATCGTATTCCTTTTCTTTTTTTTTTTTCCCTTCCTTTTTTTCTTTTTTTGCTTGTGTGGATGCTCTCCTCTCCATTCGCATTATTGTCTATTTATTCTATTTTATGTTTTTTCTGATTTCCTCATCACTACAATTGCTGCCATTGCTATTACTATGATTATTGTGATTGTTTCTTGTAGTTGTGGTTGTGTTATTGATTTTCCCCGTGCTATCTTTCCCTGTGCATCTAGCCCCTGGTTTTCCATTGTACGTTTTTCATCCTCAATCTTCCTTTAAACGCTTGACTTCTTTTGCATCCAAAATCTTGAGGATTTGCGAAAACAAAAATAGTCGAGAGAGCCTCTTCTCCTGGTGGCTTCTTGACTTCATCGACGTCTTTTTCGCTACCTCTCTTCCCATCGGACCCCCTGGTACGAGCAAACCACAATTTGTTCTTGCCTGCGTCTGGGTGGAATTTCCGGGAAAAGATCGGGATCGAGCTTGTTGTCGATCGTGCGTGGTTGTTGATTGGGCCTCTGCATGGGAAAAGAACTAAAAGCGTTGAAGCAAGGCCCGATCCGCATCGCAGCCCCGATTTTTAAACTGTGGATATCCTCTAGGCTGGAGGGAGCCACAGCCACAAAGGGGGGAAGAAAGAAAAGAGAGAGAAGGGCGGAGGAAGGCAGAGAGACAGGAGTCCAGATCATTGGGCTTTCACGCTCTCACGATCCTCTGTGCGCCACCACCGGCCAGTCACCAATATAGACCTGGCCTGGGTTCTGGCCTGGGTTCTGACGAACACGTCCCTAGGGGGGCCCATTATTGCCCTCATTTCCGTTCCGATAGTCTTCTTTACCCACCTGGCTGTGAAGGACCTGCCCTTCCAAGCTCTGACGGTCAGAAGATCCGTTGGACTACTTGGGCTCTGCTGACCTGGTTGGTCTGGAGGGCCCTCCTTCTCCATAGTCTCCGCTTCAGGTCTGGCTACGGTGCGTCTACACAAGGATTATTCATTATTATCGTGATTATTTCTCCCGTCACCGACATCAAAGCCACCAACTGTTGATTGCAGGGTGCTCCTCTTTCTGTTATCATCGTGGGGGGCACGGTATTTCTGTCATCGCTCTCCCTGCCTGTTCACAACCAAAGGTATGTTTGGCGATAGTCGTCTTTATCTCTCCCCCTCCTCTTCCGTTCCTTTTTCCTTTCTTTCGGTTGCGATCCCACAGGACTGTTTAGTGTTTCATTTCCCTTTACCCTTCACTTTCCAATTTCACCCAACCACCCCCTGGCTCAACACCCATGGGAGGGAAACGCACTCTTTCGCAATCAACTGCCTCTCCCCCAACAATTCCCTGTGATCATCCACCTCAACAGCCACCAATGTCTTTCAATTTCCCTATACCTCTGAAACTGTCGGGTGGCGGGAGAAAGCGGCTTCTTTGGTGGCTGCCATACGCGCTCGAGGGACAGATACCCTATTTTCCTTCAATTAGCATTGGCCTGTCGTCTTTTGGCGTGAAGGAGGGCCACTACGGCGCAGTGCTTGTGCCCTACGTCCCTCTTCGCCGCGACGCTGGTTTTCCGGTCTCCGTGGCGTAAAAGAGCCTGGAACTCGCTGCTATATACCATCTTGTTCCCCCTCGTACATCATTTTATACTGTCTTATTCTTGCCTGGCCTATGGATATTGTTTCCTGGTCGTGGTCCTGCACCGTGCCTCTGTGCGCGTAGCCGCCTATGCCCCTCCCCTTTTTTTATGCCTCTGATACCCAATTGTCCCATTTATAATCCTTTCCACGCTTGACTCGTTCTCCACCCTCTCTTCAAGGCAGCGCGGCGATTCGTGCGTGCATCTTTACAAAGTGGCACCGTGTTTCGTTCACCCAGTCTTACAACTGCACCGTTTTCCCCCCAAAAAGAACCCGACGATTTAGCACCCAGATGTCAGGCGGGCCTTCCCTTGTGATTTGGTGTGCTCGCTCATCCTACTATAATCGTCTACTTGTTTCTTTTCTTCGCTCTACATATCCTCCTCATCTACTTCACTTTGTTCTATTGATTCATGTGTAGATCCCACGTCTTTCTTTATCTCGTTCTTGTCTGTACAAGTCAGTAATCCCACTTATCCATGCCCTCTTACGCGACCCAGTCTTCGGGACCTTTTCCACCCTCTTATTGATCCTTCCTGTTGTTTGTGGCTTTTATTCTATTTTGTTCTTTTCTTTTTCTTTCCCTTATCTTTTTCCCTCTCTTTTATTCTCCCTTTTATTTTTTTTTTCTTCTTACCGCAGCCTCAGGCTATTAGTTTTTCTCGCTTATTGACATTTTCGTTCATCCTCCTTTTACTTGCAAAGCACTCTGTCTGGAATTTCTGTGGAAGTAATTTACCTTTGACATGGCACTGTCAAGCTTCTAACCAGTGTTGGCATAAGTTAGGCAAATCACTTGGGTACCTAGCGGAATCATTGCCCTCAAATTTCAGAGCGTGCTTGAACTCACAGGTTGGGGCTAGGTGAGTTGTCACCCCAGTTCCTCGCCAGCCCCCTTGGGCTTCCGAACACCCCCAGTATCTTTGAGATGACTCAACTAATCATGTGGAGGAGTGTGCCTGTGCTGGGTTTATCATTTGTTTGTGTCTATCATGACATATCCTAATGGTGACGCTCCTTCGGCTCTCTCGAACTCAACGCAGGGGGGTCCGAACGGAGCCAAACCACAGGCCTTCAATAAGTCGCATGAAGTAGAGGAGCCTCCTCCACAGTCAGGTATGTATCTTACCTGGATTAATCACTCTGTGGGATCTTTGGTAGAACTGAAATCTCGCTCAGTGTCGATAACTACCACTTCCCGCGAAGCTCCTCGATCGGATAATGAACAACAACATCCCAAAACACAGGCCCAGATGGCTCAGGCCGCACATGGAGGAGCGCCCTCTCTTAGCATGCGGGACATGAGATCCGCGTTGCCTGGGTATCAGAATCATTCCATCCTTTATGAGCAGCATCATATTCAGCAGCCCTTTGTTCCGACGGCTCACCCTCATGGCGTTGTCTACGCAATGCCGCCATTACCGTCATTCACAGGACCGCCAATAAATCCTAATATGGCCTTTAATGGTCCCTTCAATCAGGTATACACGCCTTATCTTCAGCAGCAACCTGAGGACCCTCTTCTGCCTCCTGGTGCGGCGGG